GGGGGGGGGGGCGGCGGGGGGAGAAGAACAGAAAAGAAAGGCGGCCAACTGGTGCAAACCAGAACTATGTGAACTGCCCCAAGGAACTTACTAGTACTTACTTCAAGATCAAGCAAGGCAAAGGTTGGTAAAACTAGCTAGCTGTTAAAGCAGCAAATAAAAATTTCAAAAAAAAAATAAAGCTCAGCATAAAATCCTCCAGAAAACAGCCAGAAGTTAAAATAAAACTAATAACTATAGGATTCTAGGAGTATATTGAGGTCCCAGATGAGGTAAAGGCTCATTGAGTGAGGCACGTCCCATACTTCTGAAATTTGATGCACCAAAACTCCTGAGGAGCCAGGAACTGGCAAGGAGGCAAGTTCCAGCTCTAACCTAAACTCTTCACTTAAAAACAAAACAGAACTGAAGCACTTAGAAAGATTATAGGGTGAAGCACACTTAATATAAATGTCAAACTAAATAGCTTGGTGAATACAGTATTGTGATAACCATTTTCTTGTGGAAAGGAGTTCTTTCATATACTAAGTGGTCAAAGCAACAAAAACCACCAGTACCAGCAATAACATGTCAGACAAGATGAGAGCTTTGTGCAGTAGGATCTTCCAACCAATGTAGTTCTTATAAGTAATGAGCTATGGTAAAATAGTATGTGCTGACTGGCAACAGCCACAGCAAAGATTTCTCCCCCCACAACAGGAATGATTAAAACCCTGTTTATGCTGAGATGTTCAGAATGTGATCTGCCCTTTCAAAGACAGAACACAAAATTAGGAAGTCATCTCTTCTTGATTTATTTGGGTTATTTTTGAATAGAAAGAAATAGGATCCTGCAGAAACAAAGGCACATGCTTCCTTACAAAGAGAGGTCTTTTCGCAGGTTTCATTCTGATGCCTCAGTAAGAAGCCAAATCACCCACCAATCATGGAGGGAATAACAAAATTAATTGCAATGATTTAAGAGATGGTGGCCGAACTTCTTTTTGGCATGAGCCTCTCTCTCATTACTTTTGTACAGAAAAAAAACACAGAGAGGAACCAGTCGTGAGAAGTATTTCATTAACCAGTCTGCAGCTATGAGAAGAGGCGGCTGTTATCACCAGAGCAACAAACAGAGGACAAGGGCGGAGAGAAAAGACGAAGGAATGCTGATGTGCTGGGCTGGGATTGAAGAGGACACAGGAGGGTGTTTATTCATAGTCCATAGGGTTCAGCAGCTGTTTCAAAACAAGAAGTCACATCAAAGAAGAGAACTGTTAGGACAGCTCCAACATGAGTTCTTTTCAACCCAAATAAAGCTGTCTTGATAATGGTGAGGAGGAAGAAGGACTTTGGGAAAATTCCCTGTTCCAGAGAATTAGTGAAATTTGCTTCAGTGTTCATGTTAAGATGTCAAAGCAATTATGAAAATCGAGTAGAAAAAAATCCATCTCGGACTTCTCAGGCCTTAGCCCGGCGTAGGTGGGGGTAGCTCTGCAGAGTCCTGTCTATTGCTTCATCCAAGCTCACCACTGGTTTGTAGCCCATGTCTCTTTTGGCCCGTTCACAGCTGTAGTAGTGAAACGTTCCAGCTAATGCAACCCGCATAGGGGTAAAAGTGGGCTTGATGGTGACCAGTGGACTTAGCAGCCACAGCACTAGAGACAGGAATAAGGCCAGGTAATGTGCCAGCCAATAGGGAATATGATACTTGGGAGGATCGTAGTTCAGGCCAGTCAAGATACGGGACATGAAAGCCCAGAAAGGAACTGGTTCATCATTTGTGATATGAAATGCCTGAAAGAGAGGAAGACAAAAAGCCAGATGATAAAATCATTACAGTTTCCACAAACTTGTCTCTGATGGCCCATCTCATGTTCGTGCTGAGAAGACTGATGTTCCTGACTTGACTGAGAACACTTTTTCATGAGAAACTGCTTTGCATTAACCACCTACGTCTGAAAAGTGATGAACCCCTTCTTTGCTGAGGAAGCCAACTACTTCCAATGCTCCAGACATAAAATTACTCATAAATGGTCAAACTGAATGATGCAACACAATGCAAACACATTAAAACATCCTAGCTGTATGTACACTGCATGCCCAGAGCACGGTGGTGCCACAAAAATATATACAAGTTTCTTCTGTTCTGAACTCTGTAGTAAAAGCTAAATAACTATGCTTCTTATGTATGCATCTTGGCTGCCCTCAATTCTGCCTGGATATAGAACTTCTTTCCTTTCCTGGATTAGAACTTCTTCCACAAGAAGTTTTATAGCATGAAGTTAAAGTATTTTCATACATCACAACCCATGTGGCAGCACACAATTGTCACCAGATAGGCAACCATTCATTATACCCACAGACAGAAAAACAGACCCATTTGTGTGTGCTAGTTCGACTCAACTCCAAGATACATATTCAGCACAGATGAAAATCAGCATGAATTACGGAGCACACATGAAGCCGAGCAAGGCTTGCAGATGAAGCCTGGCTAGGGGACACCCACTCCTCTCCCCTTGCTAGGTCCTTCCTTACCTTCCCACACAGAGGAGAGTCTTTCTGAAGATTTTCTGCAGCTAGGATGTGTCCATGGACCACATTTTCCACATAAGTGAAATCTACCAAGTTCTTTCCATCCCTGCACAGACAAAATGAAGAAGGTTAGCCCTAAGGCAAGTTCAGCTGAAAATGTGCTTGTGGCAAAATGAAGGACTTTCACACAAGATATAGTTATTCCTAGTTTCACCTACTCTCTTGTGCTGCAACTTCAGGCTATACTCTGTCAGAGAGATGAAATTGCTACGTATTATTTTGGAGACAGAGGAAAAGGTGTTATTGTCTCAGCTCTTGCTAAGGCCCTCAAAGTTTACAGTCCTGTAACAGTACCATTTTTAAATCTTACAAGTTACCAAGTTGATAGGTGTTGCAGATCCTACAGGTCTCAGAATCAGCAGTGATCCACAGAAGCAGAACAAACAGAAACAGAGAGGTAAGTAGCACAAACAAAGTCATTTAAGGACAAGCTTTCAATAACTGATTTCTTAGATGATGAAATTCTAACTTACTCCCTTAATAAGACAACTTCACATGTAGCTGAAACAGATTTAGGCCACTGTGTTAAATCTATTTCTACACAGGTACAGCAAATGAAAATGGATCTGCACATCACTTTCAACAGTCCAGCTAAATCAAACAAGTGGTTTGTTACAAAACTCATTTGGCCATAAAACCAGAATTGCCACAATCTAACATTCTGAGAAAGAGTAATTTTCATCTCCTGTGTTCATGGATGAATTGCTATTTTATTTGCCTTCTTGGAAGGGATATACAGGTCTGTATGGCAGGAAAATTCAAATGAGGAATGCATGTTGGAGCTGGAACAGAATGCAGACTTGCACAGAGTGGAAACCTTGAGTTTGTGTAGGTTTGCTGTTCATAGATCAGTTTGAGAGATCAGTTCAGGAGGGAACTGTAAGGACAAATAAGAACAAAACCAACCCCAAAACCAAAAAACCCCACAACCATATTCCCTTTCTTCCTTCTACCCCAAGCACATATTCACATGTGCACATATACACACAAACCAGCTGCTTACATGTAATAAAAATCTATTATCAATTAAAAACCATATTTCTTTTCAAGCTCATAATACAATTGATAAAAATATCCTTAGTAGTAGATTGAACTATTTCTTGCTCTATAATTTCAGTGGTCCACTAGAAGCTCTGCAAGATTCAGTATCTTTGATCTTATAATCAGAAATATTAAAACACTGCCATATAGGCTTTTTAATTGCAGGAACCTCAAATACCAGAAGTATATATTAATTAAATTAACAGCAAGTAATCTGAGCTCCCTCATATTTAAAAGGACAACTCTTTAGACAATGCAGAGACAACTCAAATGTCAGCTTTCCCCACTGGTATTCTTCTTGCATTTAGAACACTTACCATGTGAGTGCATGAGTCCCTAACACAGCAGGATTTTTAAAAAAAAGAATCCTGGATCACAAATTAAAAATGAAAGAAACATACTTTTTTCCATGCCATAACAACACTACAGATTCAGTATTATTCCCTTCCAAAAGGGCTCTATAGATTCAGCATCAATTTTAACAAAAGCTATAAAATGACTGAGCCTTGCTCACCCAATTATGAACTTCATTTTGCCACTCTTAGCTGCTTGGATGAGGATGGGAACCAGCTGAGGGTCTCTAGGACCAAATATTCCATGGGGACGAATAGCAGTAGTGAAGAAATTGTTGCCTGGGTCATTTGCACTGAGCACCTCCTGTAGGGAAAAAAGATAACCAAATCAGGAGAGAAAAGCTGGGAAGAAAAATATGGCTTAGTAATATATTCCACGACTATCACTAAAGCGGGTGGGTGTTTGCCTATCTCTTTGGAAAGATATCAGTGGAAGAACTATTGCCCACTCATATCTTCACAAGTGATCCTTCCTTTGTTCCCATCTCTTCTCCCATTTCTCTTTAATGAGAAAAACAGACAAAAATCTGTTCTCATTATTGAACACTTAATGAGCTGACAGGTAAAAGAAGGGAACTCTTCACCTCTCTCATTTAACACCACAGAAACCAGAGGAGCTTTGAAAGTTTCTTCACTCCATGAATTCTTTATGGACATGCTGGAGAAAAGAAGGACACTAAGCACTTCAATGTCTGTCTCTCTCATCAAACAGTGGAAGATTTCCATCCCAGGCCTTCTCAATCTCCATCTTCCTGACAGCACCAAGTGCTAAGCAGATTTAGCAAGGCATCTCTGAAGAAGATTTAATTCTACTGGGAGTTTCCAAACAATATGTTCTACTAATTTTTAACAGCTGCTGGATTTTCTATTAAAAATCCAAGTACAACACATACAAATAAAGGCTGAATACTTTCACTGTTTCACCCAAAACAAAGACATAATTACGAGCATATTGGGCTAGACTTGATTGCTACTCATAAGCTTCCACTTTATTCGTCCACTTTACTGCAAAGTGGTTACGTTTGTGAATGAACAGATGTTTTTATGCTGCGTTTTCAATTAAGCTCTTTTCAAGGAACGTAAGAAAAATTCTTAAAGGCTAATACCCGACTTTAGAGGACACACTGTTAGCTTCAGTATGAAAGCAAGTCTAAATTCTTCTTGCACAAAAAGTGTATATTCTTTCCATAACTGAAATGCAAGCTGCTGAAAAGTTTGATAAAATGTTTGTTCGCTTTGATTGTTATACCATATTTAAACCACAAATACTGCAGCATTAAGAACCTGAAACAGAACAGATACTGGTGATCTGCAAATGTTCAAAGTAGAGGACATTCAGATGTAGGGGAAATTGTACATATTTTTTAACAAGAATATCTTCAGTGTATGGCCAATAGCATTAGCTTATGACATGTTATTCAGGTTGCATTTCCATCTCATCTTCTCCTTCCCCAGTGTCTTGTTCACGATCCCAACTGTAACTTCAGGCTGAAAAATCAGGTAAATGAGGTTCTGAAACAGCCTTCCAGTAGGAGCAGAGAAAGCAAAAATCTCCCCTCAACTGGTCTTAAAACAACACTAGATGAGTTAAGAAACGGGATTATCACATAGTTCTTGCAACAAGTGACACCTCTTCCAGTTCTTCTACTCTTCGTCTAGAAACAACCTCTGTAGTGTAACACGCTACTTCATTCAACTTTCTTGATAATTTATGTCATAGCTCTATTTTATTCTCTTTAATTAAGTGAACACACTACTTAGGAGTTTCATCAGCCAAGGAAGACATAACTGACATTTGAACCACTTAGTGGCTAGGAAAGCATCCCCTGGACCAACCCATCAGCATGCCTACGGAGAAGTAATGCAAGCAAGTGGAAGATGTAAGCGGCAGCCACCCGTCGTACTTCTCTGTAAGAGAATAAATGAACACACAGCTCGCTAGCCTCCATGCTTAGAATAAGAGGGCTAAAATCAGACAGATTTGTCTAAAAGGAGGGAATTTTCTACTATACTCCAAAAACTCTAGCAGGTGTTACTACATATGCATGATTCTGTGCAGATTTTCCTTGCAACTATAAGAATGAGATGACTTCTTTTCATTGAAAGAGAAATTTTGGAGAACAAGAGATCTGTTCAGTCTTGAAGGGTCTGCTGGGTCCTCTAAGGCATGCCCTGCTTTTAGAAGGGCAGTTTTAAGCATCAGAAATAACAGCGTTAACCATACAATACCTTCTCCTGTAGGATCTTCGTCTCTGTGTAATAGTCGATAGGTTTTTTGGCGTAAGGGAGATCTTCTGATCCATTTTTTATGTCTGTGCCCTCAAAAACTACACTTGCACTGCTAGTTAACACCAGTTTCTGCAACAGATGTGATAAAGGATCGTTATTTATGAAGATTGAGTAAAAACAATAATAATGTTTAATCAACTGATTCTACAGATTATAAACAAAGTCTAGAAGAACATGGGCTAAGAAAAGATGATCTGAAACTGCAGGTAAGAAAACTCCCACTCTTAATTGACTTTGTCCTATTGTTTAGTGCTACCTAAAGGAGATTAAAACACTTCAATAAAAACCCAAGGTAGCCAGTCAAGGGGAAAACAGCTCCAGGAAAATCAGAGTGCCCACTTGGCTTGGTACATTTTAACACTTAACATGCAATTAGTATTTTTAAGATGTATTTGCTCATCTTGACAATAACAACATCACGGTAGTTTAAACCGAAAAAGAATTCTTATCTTGGATGTTTTTGTTGGATAAAAACATACCCTAGTGGATTCAAAACAGGAAGTCAGTAATGTATCTGAGTAATCAGAAACATGTTTTTGAACAAGATCCACATTGTAATACAAAAATTACAAGATCCAACAAGTTCCAACAAGACTTAACTCCTTGTTCTGACAGAATCCAGGCTAAGCCTGAAGGTAAACACCATGTGATCCATTTCCTACACAGTTTATTACATGAGGGGTGGAAAACAACCCTAACAAACAACAAACCGTGGGGCTGGGAGTCTTACGAGATTGATATTATTTAATTCTAAACATTATTACTTCCGTATTCATACATGAACACTGTGCAAAATGCATGCTTTGGAGGCAGCATCTCCACCCAGAATAAGTAAGGGATCTTCACATGCATTGTGCTTCAAAATTTACTAGGAATTCAAATGAAAACTCATGTGATATCAAAATATCATAAAGTGAAAAAAAAACCAACCACAGTCTTGCCTGGACAGCAGCCTGGTTTCCTCTGGCTTGCTCTTTTATGGGCAAATGACTTTCTAAACCAAATCATACTGAGATTATGGCACAAATGTGTTCCTTCTCATTATATGTCAAAGAATTCACATAGGTAATAGATGCCATGAATACTTCCACTGCTGGAAAAGCTATCTTTAGTGCTGTCCCCCTATGAAAGAATCTACTTGCCAGCTGTGGTTCTCCCATGTGTGATTCTCAGATGTCTAGTAGGACAAATTTTAACAAATGCTTTTTCTGCAGTCAGGAAGATTGCAATGTGTAGGTTTTCTGTGGCAAACATGGACTGAGCTAACACCAGACACTAAGCAGGAGACCAACAGAGTCTCTGTTCTATAAATTTTCATAGAACATGCAGGAATTCAGCATCTCAGAGACCTCTGCCCCTCTATCAAACTAGACTGAAATTGGTCCGTGCTGTAATGGTTACAAGATCACATCAGGATCTTATAGACTCCATGTGCTTTTCCACCCTTACCTGCACTCCAGCTTCTTTGCAGGCTTCAACGACTGCTTTGGTTCCCATAAAATTCACTTTATAAAACAGTTCCCTGTTGTCACTTGAAGGTGCTGGTGATGCACAATGAAATGCCACGGACACACCTTGTAAAGCTGGGAGCAAAGCCTAGAAGATACATCACACGAGACAGCAATGAAGCAACAGCAATAGTGTGTACTTAGAGGAAAAAAAAAAAAAAAAAAAGGAAATAAAACACTGTTCTTTTTCTCATGGAAGCAAAACCGCTAAATTTCAAGTCATGTTCCATCCATAAAGGTAAGCAGCTGGAGTAGGATTAGCATCCAGGATCTTCACAATGTCCTCTCCTTTTTGCTAGGCAAAAATGCATGACGTCACCTTTTCTTTCCAAGGAAGAACCTAGGAACCTTGGAGAGAGAGAGACCTGGAGGCTATCTAGACTTAACTACTTGCAACAGTCTCAAGTGCAGGTATGAGACTCAAAGTTACCTGGAGACAGGAGTTAGAAAACTCAGCAAGCAGGAGGTTTAGCAGCCAGCAGCACCCCATGGCACTTGCCTGTGTTTGAGATGACCGTCATAAAGCTCTGAGACATGACACTTCATAGTGGTGGATAGATGTTTTTGCCAAGGCTCACATGTGTGACCGAGTTAAAGCAAGAGGTCTCAGCATGCCTCAGCTGTTAGGAATAATGCATTCTGCCATTCTCATGCAGCTGAGGTTAGCCAGGAGCACCCACATTCAATTACCAACAGTGACTGTAATTAGATTGTATATCTTAGCTAACAGTAATGCAAATGTATATTCCTTTAAATGTTCTAGATGAGGGTTCCACAGAAAACTGCTTAGGCTACTGACTTCACAGAGAAAGGCTGGGGGGCATATCTACACACCCTCTTACAACCTGTGAAATGCCTTCAGGTGTTTCACTGCTTCAGGCAAAGCTCAGTAAGCTGTAAACTCTTTGAAGGAACACATATTAAACAGACATCCTTTCTATCCACCCATGTCAGGTACTGTTGTTAGTCTGTACCTCTTTGTCACAAAGGTCCCCCAGGAAGAACTGCACTCGGTCATTATCAAATCTCTTCTGAATATCGAACACGTTGACTGTGTAACCTTTCTTCAGGAGCTGCTCCACCATGTGCTGGCCTAAGAATCCTGACCCACCGATCACTGTACATTTCTTACCAGCCTGCAGAGACAGAGGGAAAAGCACTTCAGTGAGCAAATTCAAACTGTCCAAGTAAACTGATCTGAATTTCCTGAGATTTTAATGTGCTGGAATTTTGCACAACTAGTTATTAGTTTGTTTGAATGGAGGATCTAAATTCAGGTATCAAAAGACTCTTCAATATGTTTGTGCTATCACAGTAACTTAAAAGTTCAGACACACTAACGGTCCACACAGCTCACATGCTGGTTTGTATTTTAGCAGGACTCTGCCTCATAACCAAGTGGCTCATGTAGTAGGGAAGAAATAGAGGACTGGCTCTGACAAACTCTGCCCTGATGGTCAAGCAAACAGAATTTGCTTCAGCCACATGGCACAGATAATTTGGAATACTAATACCATCAGCAATAGCAAGGACAAAACCATTTTCAGAGCATGTGAAACTTAGGCTTCTCCAAGCCAAGAAATCAATCAGGTAAAGGCAAGGATTATCCTTTCTAGTTAGTCATTAGTTCTTACTTTCTTTTTTAGACTTTTAAAAATCAATGGCTAGAGTCACTAATTAACAGATTCCGATCTGATCACTCATCTAACCGGGCTGAGATCAAAAACGTTATCAACACAGAACATACAAGCAACAACTGTGAGGAAGCTTTTATACACAGATTGCTCTGTCCTGGTTGGAAATATGCTCCTCATGGTTGCTACACAAAAACTCACCTCTGCAGTTATACTATCGAGCTGAAGGGAATTTTAACCCAGTGAAACCACACAAAGACAGCAATTGTTCAGAAGTTTATAAGTGCTACATCCTTAAACAAAGGTTCTACTGCAAAGTGCCAATTATCCACAATAGAAAGTCGAGTTCACTGCAGTTGCTCAGTTACATTAAAGCATTACAAGTTATTTAGAATAGTGCATGAAATGTACAGTCTGATTAAAATAATTTTTAAAAGTTCCAATGGGTTGGCCCAGTCATCTGTTTCGTTTTGATAGTTGCAAGAGAACAGATGACATAGGGAGAACATGTGAGTCTAAAGACTCTCTGCAGTTCACTCTCGTATTCCTCTGCTACAACAGTTTTGCATTTCCTTTACTTGTCAGCTTCCCAATTCTCTAAACTCAGTCACATTCCTCTGCCGTGTCCTCTCTGCATTGAGGTGTTGAGCCTTTTCAGCTTCTCCTCAAAAGGCAGTCACTCTGTTCCACCAATATTTTCACTTGCCTTCCCCTGTACCCTTTCTCATTCCAGTGCATTCCTCATGAAATGAGAGCACCCAAACTGCACACTGCACTCAGATGTGCCAGACCAAAGTTTTACAGTGGCAGAATGACGCCCTCTGTCTGGCTCTGAATATCAGAATCATTTTCTACCAGTACAGATGAGATAATCTAGGTTTTTCTGTACAATAGTTTTCTACTCACCCAAGCATAAGGGCAGTATTCTAACTGGTGATGAGAAACACACTATTTAAATAATCTTTAGTGCACATTTATAATATGCAATACGATCTAGTACACACATCTCTTGGGAAATTACTAAACAAACCAACTCAATGACCAGATTCAGTATAACTGCAGCTAACAGTGCTGCACCTTGTTTAATTACTTGCTTTACAAAATGCAAGTAGAAAGCCAGGCTACGCACAGCTATATTGATTTTTGGATATGAATTACTACATATCTAGTGTTGTGCTGTGAAGATACAACAGCTTGTTCACACTCTCTACCGTGACACTACTTTTTTTTTGTTTCTTAAATATCTGAGATCCACTGGTCCTTCATAATCTCCATATGAATTAATGAAAAGATAGTTCAGATGCCAGAAATTTCTCTATGAACAAGAACCACAGGCAATGCAACAAAAACATCTTAATAAGTTGTACTCCTAAAAGTAACGTCCAAACACCTCTCCGAGCTAAGTAAACTGTTACTCCTTCCATATCCTAATCTCCTGTATTCAATGTAGTAATCCTAGAAGGAGGTTACAATGGCTCAGTAGATCTCAGGGGCCTCAGCTGGGCCTTTATCTGCACTACAAAATGGAGTAATGTTACAAGGCATGTGGAAATTAACTTGGAGTAACTAAATCTCCAGACCAATTGATTTGGCAGCACTGACAAAGCCACTGGTGTTTCTGGGGGAGTTGGAGAATTCCTGGATGTCTTGGGAACTGACAGCAACAAACTACTTCTGAGTAAATCACATTTCCCCCAGCAATATCTCTGGAGTAGGCATTAAGGCAGAAACAGTCCCATGTCTTCTCTGGTAATGTTCATAAGACTTATCTATGCAAATACATTTCTGTAAGATAAACCTTCATAAAGCATCATTTAAGTCCTCAACTTACCGATCTGAAGTGTGTGGCCATTTCTCAGATGACTCACTATCAACCTGATTCCTTCAAAAATGGAGAACATTATTTTATTCACAATACAATACTTAAACGTGCCATTAAAACAAACTAAGCCTTTTTTAAAAACACCTTTATAGTTATAGAAATCAAGGTTTGCAGCCATTGTACTAAAGCAGAACTGTGAAGAGTAAGCTAATTCTCCCTGTCCTGCTGAACAATTTATTACAACAGTGGTATCAAATAACTTTCTCAAATGCATAATTTTAATATGATAAAATACCCTTGATAACAAAGGCACCATCTCATTTTAGCTAGTATTAGCTTCATGTACTTCCTTTAAGTCTGAATATTTACACTCCAAATAACGTGAACACAATTGCAGCTTTTGGCAATGTCTTCCTCAAAAATATAGCTGCTCTAGGATGTTGGGAATAAAAAATTAAAACTGAAGTTCAAGCATTTCAGGAGCACCATGCCTGCCTGCTGCAAGAAACGCTGGTGCTCAGTGGTGCTCATGAGCAAAGAGAGGGGAGCCTGTGGTGAGATTTTCCAAGTTTTCAAATCGCAGGCCACCACTTTCATTAAAATACACTCTTCCTCCCAACAATAGCAAATAAAATTCCCAATTCAGCTGGGATTCTACAGTGTGGGGTATAATCAAAAGACAGAAAAAGACAACATGCCTATTTCAATCTGTTTTCAACATAAAGACAAGCTGAACACAAAGACTTCTGATGGCTTTACAGTCACTTTAAACCATCACTATGATCAACTGCTGCTTTAGAGGCTGATTTGATTCTCCTTATTCCTAGTCAGTGCTTCCCACTACCTCCTGCTATTCACACAGTAAAATGGATGAAGGCCATGACTAGCTGAAAATTAATCATTTTCTGCTTGAGTTAGTTTTCAGCCAGAGCAGCTCTCTGACCCATCTTGCTTCACAAACACTAGTGCCAACACACCTGAATGAGATCTAGGAACAGCTACGCCAATGTTGCTATAAAATTATCACAGTATCATGCCACATGCAAGCAAATACATCTGCTGGACTGGCTCACTCTGCAAAGTACACAGTTTAGCACTCTTCATTTTTATTTTTCTGAAAAGCCCCTTGAAATGGCAAGGAAAGAGCCAAAAAGGGCAGGATTGGTGCAGGTCCAGCAGGAACACCAAGCTGGTTTGGAAGCATGGGCACAGAGTGAAGAGTTGACCCCTCTTCTACCCTCACATCTCCTTAACCCAGGCTTTACCCCTCCTCAAAATTCAATTTATGAACGGCTCCATCTCGTTTCCCTCCAGCTCTTTCAGCCTCATCATCCCAGAGTCCCCCATTCCCACTTCAGCCACCCTCCATACAGCTCCAACTTCTCCCACCCCACTACAGCCTGCCCTTCCTCACACTGCCCGTCCCTGAAGCTTTCCACACCCCCAGCTTCCCTCCCCACACACCCCACAACCTGCCCCTTCCTCCCCCACAGCCTCCCCTACACCCCCCTCACCCCTCAGCTCTGCAACCTACCCCTCGCCCCAGCCCACCTCATAGCCCTGCAGGCTCTGCTGCCCCCAGCCTGCCCCTCCGCAGGCCCCAGGCCCC